ATTTTTTGGCAAGCATGCATAATACAGTGTTGTGTTGCTGGCTTTTAGACATTTAGAAAAATGCTTTAACACATAGATAGCAACATCAAATGAACATCTACTTTCAAAATAAAGCAATGGAAACTGATCCTTTGTGTTCATTACATTCTAATATAGCTGACTCCAATCTGTATACGCACACGTGATATTTCTAAGAAAAAGAACTACAAAAATCAATAATTAATTCTAGAGCTCCTTTGCTTTAGTCATCTGCCCCATTTAATGCACTGATGTCCACTTCTTTTTAAATTACTTATAGCTTTGCTATTAGAGAAACAATGTCTTTGAGTGTGTTTTTCTTAGAAAAGAAACCTCAGCTATTCACGGTAAAATATTTAATTGATTCAATAGACCAGTTAAAAGCAAAGAAAATGATTTATCACAGAGACTTCTGTGTTAATGCAAGTCACTTTGTTGCTTGGAGTCATCTCAACACTGTCACTCTTTTCATCACATCAGGAACTGTTTTTGATAGCCAGTTATGTCTATATTGAAACTTATTAGAATGGATACTGTATGGTGACATAACTGTTCAGTATAAAGCAGTCTGTACTTTTATGAACTGTTTTTTTAAACTTTTTTCCTGTTTTAAAGTGATTGAAATCATTCCCATTTTTATTAAAATAACAAATGTCATACTTACCTGCTCTGGTTTTGCACAAAGCAGCTTTAATCAACCTCTTCTTGGGTCAACCCTGACTAGTGCCAACCATAGGAAGCCACTTCAACGTTGCCCACTTCAACTCTGAGAGGCCTCCAAGATACTTCCAATGGGAAAAGAGCTCTCTTTCTTACTTAGGGATTCATTTAACATCCTTGATCGTGGACTTTTTTAGAGCTACCTAGTATGTAGTTTTGTGGGTGTTGCTACAAATGAGGGCATGGCTTTGAGGGTGTGGTGAAAAATGGTCAGTGGAGTGTGCCAGAATTTAATTTTGAAAATATGGTGGCCTTAATCTGACATAGTATGTGGAAAGTAAAAGAAGAGGTTGGCTTTGTCACATATAGTGAGTGAAAGGAAGCAATTCTATCGTTGTTATGTTGACAATAAAATGCAGGTGCTTTGATTTATATTTGGATGAGTGCTTTAACACTTGTTCTGGACTTGCATAGATAGATTTTTGGGTAAACACCCAAGCATTTACCTTACACATAGAGTGCAGGGGCTACCTTTGGGACTCTTTATATTATTACATATGTGGCTGGATTGTTGGGTAGGTGCAGCTTGGTGTGGCAGCAGTAAACACACAGAGAGGCCTGGTATGCAGTAACCAATATATTGAAGAAATTGTAACAGTACAACAGCTTGGTGGGGAAGCCTACCTGACCAAGAACTTACAGTCAATAGAGCAAAGAGTAAGCAGAGTATAGACCCGAAATGAAGACAGCACCTAACAGGGAAGGTGAAATGCAGCCTTGTCAGGCCAACCCAAAGGGCAGCTCTCTAATGTTGCAGAAGTAGCCCTGAGCTTTCTCTACTCCTCTGGAACTTCGACCTGCTGCTAATGCTGTCCCTCACAGACAGGTACGCTCTCCCTACACTAGTCACTTTGCAAAAGCAAGCCAAAACCCAAGGGCAAGCACTTAAGAAGACTCTGCATAATCTAGATGGCCGCCAAGGTCACCTGGATGCAGTGTAGCCAACCATAATGCTGCTGCAGAGAAACCCATTTTCTCTTGACGTCCCCCTCCAGCTGCACTGCCGCTTTGGATGAGCAACACCTACGGTAGAGAAACAAGACTGCACCTGCCTACAAAAAAGTATAAAATCCAAATAAACATCTACATCCAAAGTAACTTGATGCCAATATTCTGAAAGACCAGTTCAACAAACAAGTATTATAAAATTAAAACTGAGAGCTAGCACTCCTATGATATGGTACATCAGGTTTTATGATTTTTGGCTACCTTCAGAAGCCATGAGTTACAGGTACACAATGTGGGCATGTGTTGTCAACATTTTTCATCACAATGATGGTGGAGAGCATTTTTAACACTGCATGTATTCTAAGAAGGCATCTGGTGGGTTGATCTGCTGATATTGCCTCTATAGTTCTGGTGAGGGAATGTGTCAGGGCTCCCGGGTATGACCAGAGGTATGTGACTGACGCAGGGAAACGCAGACTTCAGATATGTTATAAACAATATAATTTATTAACACTAACAATACAAACATAAACGCAGTGCAATACTAAAACATAACAGTGCAAACGAACCAAACCAAACCACCCACAGATAACAGTACATACAATGCAAGCGTCGTCAGGCAGGCCGGGTCAATAACAATCGGGCAGGTACAGGGGGAGCAAGCGGAGAATGGTCGGGGTCACAAGCCAGGTTCAGCAGGTAGCGGGCAGCGTGGTACAGAGGGTCAGGCAGAGGGATGGTCAGGAACGAGCCGGGGTCAGAGCAGGAGAGGGTCAGCGTAATCAGAACAGGCAGAGTTTGGCAACAAGGAAACGTACTAGCAGGAACACAGGAACAGGAACAAGAATGCAGGATTACAAGATACAGGGCCCAGGAAAAACACACACACCAAGGCAAAGACTGAAGGTCTGGCCATCACTTAAATACACCTGCATAAGCAGTTTCAGGTGTTTGGCTGGCTGCAGGGTTGAGTCTCTGATTGCTGGGAGCACCCGCTGGCCAGCCCTGGTACTGCAGCCCACAAGGCAGGTGAGTCCCACCATTACTGGCAAGTCCATTCCTAACAGAATGAAGCCCTGGCTGCAGGCATTTTGATGTCAAAGTGAGAGGTGCTTGCCCTGCTCAGAGACTGTCTTATAAGAACATCCTGTACAACACATTGGGGTTTATTTACTAAACCTGGTTGACTCAGAATCTTGTCCACTTCTGCATAAAAACCAATCAGCTTCCAGGTTTTATTGCTGAAGCTTAACTGAACATGCTGAGGTTAGAAGCTGATTGGCTACCATGCACAGGTGCCCAAGATTCTGAGTCAACCAGGTTTAGTAAATAAACCCCATTGGGTCATCTCTGCAGAACTATCTATCTCACATTCATTGAACACCACATGTGGACATACAGTACCCTGTTGACATGAATCTGTCATGACAACAGTAGGAAACCCAGTACCCCAGTTGCAGCCATTGCACCAATGTGCACTTCTTGACTCATTGCCACTAAACTAACATGCACTTACTCACCGACCAATTCACACTCACACACCATCAGGTTGTGCCAACATGTACTTCCTCACTCACAGTCACTGTGCACTTCTTCACGCTGCTACCAGTGCACTGATGCAGGCTTCCCTATTGCCTGCTGCTGCTGAGATGCCTTGCATTGCCTAGCTCACTTCTATAGTAATCCCCTCAATAGACAGGTATATTTTAATTTATTAACTGAACAGGAACACAATGGTCATGATCCTTTTATTAGTCCAAAAGTTATAAGTAATATTTTTTCCATGAAGAAGTATCTCTAAAAAACACCATAATGTAAAATTTCAGCCTCCTAGTTTGCTTTCTCATTATTTCTATCTGTCTCATACTTGTTTTGTTCTCTCACCAGGTGGGAGACATTGTATAAGGATGTCAGAGAGTCTACCCTCACTTTCCTTGGCCAGGCTTAAAAGCAAAAAAAATATATATCTAAAGAGTAACTGCACGTTTGTTGGAAAAAAAAACACAGGAACAAATCTCCTCAATCACCAGATTTCACTGACCTCCTTGTGGTACAAGAAAGGTCAAATGTGCTTTGTGCGCTCCCAGGGACCAGTTGCGATCTCCTGCTTGGCACTCCTCTGCATTGTTACCTCTAGCAATCCCAATGGAGTTCCAATGGTGATAATGGTATATAGTTCAAAAAAGAGAGAAGAGAAATCCTCTCATAGTGTAAACTGTATATTTATTAAAACGGTATAGTATAAAGGATTATGCCCATAAAAACACAAAAAACATACAGGCAATCCCGATCCGATCTTTTGAAAGCTGCCGATCCCTCAGTGTGCGTTCCACCAGAGAACAGAAGAACCTGAACATTACCCATATATCTAAAACCATACCACATTTCTGTGTCCCTAAATGGACTTTTGAAAAAAAAAATTTACGTGAAGTAAAAAACATCTTACTTTTCTGTTGTATTGTGCTTCTACAACAATGAAGCCTTAAAGAAAATTGATTACTGTATATTCAGGTGGATCAATAACTTACTTTAGTTTAAAAAAAAAACAATATGGAAGATTCTTTTATGAATGTTCTTATTTCCTTCTGTTTTTATAAAAATACTTTTTACTTATTCCTTTCTGCCTATTCTTAGCACCTGTCACAGAATAATAGTGTCATACAGGTGTTTTTGTACTTTATTTTTTGACAGGTGCTAATTTGGCGGTGCCTTGCTGTGCCTGCACCCATGATTTCATCTTGTAATCAATGATCTGCCTCCTAGGATGAGGTGTTTGTATTGTGTAGTAACAAAACACATCAAGTAAAGTGAGAAAGATATGTGAATTAAAAGGATTATGGGAAAGAAACATCACAAAGGTAGTCAATTGTAATGTGCACTCATTGCTCATTGTTGGCTCCTTTTTGTAGGTTACAGCAGTCACTGATAAGCCTACATTTGTACCTTAGGAGTTCTCAGTACTTTCACAGTAAACTTTTATTGTATCTTAAAGGATAAGTTCACCATTCCTGGCAGAATTTCACTTTTCAAAATAAATGGAAGCGGTTTCCAGTGCCATTTCTCGCCCAGCCACCCCAGCGTACAGTTCTCTCACTTACCTTATCCACATGAGGTTTATTTTTTTTGTTAGTTTATTTAAATGCTTCAACAGATTTTCAGATTGCATCATTTCCTGCAGGTCACGTCCCAGAAGCCTTCACTTTCTTTTTTCATCACAGAAGGGGGTGAGATAGGATGTGTTCATCACTCTGGACCACACCTCCTTCATTATAATACTACTTTCCTATCAGGGGCGGACTGACAACTCATGGGGCCCCTGGGCAATAGGGGATCATGGGGCCCCTGTGTCCTTGCCCAAACTCAAAAAAGCCTATGAAAAAGGTACCAGGGGCATCTCATGGGGCCCCCTACTTAGCAGTGCCCGAGTTTCCAAATAGTCAGTCCTCCCCTGCTTCCTATACAATCCGATAGTAGAATCTGCTTTAGATCTCCCATCAGCTACTGTATGTAGTACAAGGGTAGAAAAAGTGCAGTGCAAATAAATGTGTATAACTCACTAGAAATTTGCAAAAAAATTATGAAAATAAAAAATGAGAAACACATGTAAACACATAAAACACAATTAGTGATAAAACAGATTATATAACTCGATCAAGTGCAATAAATCCCAACTTCCCTTGTATATACAGTGATTAATCATTTATAATCCCCCTTTAAAAACTTAATAAATACTATAAAAACCACATGTAAACGCATACACATAAAACTAATTTATAGTGAGTTATACACATTTAGTTGTGCTGCACTTTTTCCGCATTTGATTTCTGTTGGTGTTTGAACACACAACAGCGAGGAGCTGCAACATAATATATGGGATATTGATACACATTGCGGTTAGCGCAGAGGTTTCCATCTGTTTGGTGTGTAGTACAAGGGCCAGTCTGATTTGATATAAATGGAAATAATTGTTGAGGTGCGGCCTCCTATTCCATAGTTTGTACCATCAGATTACATAGTGTATGGCCATCTTTATACAAGTACAGAGGAGGGGGTGAACAGAGACACTCAGTTGTCAGGCCCCATTCACGTCTTCTCATAGTAAAGACTCACATTCCCACATGCATTTGTTTTGGGTGTTATGGAGCGTTCTCACTTGTCACACATAGGGCAGCCCATTAACTTGAATGCGCAACAGTCGCCCCAGATGAGCTCCAGAATATTTTTTGGAGAGGAGCATGTTGGGTCAGTTTTTGCTGTGTTTGCTTTGCTTGGGGTGCCTCTACCATGTAATGACAACACAAACATGATGCACATTTACAGCATGTTTCTGAAATGCATGGCAACGCATGCATTTTCTGTGCATTTTTTGTGCAGTTTGCCTTGCATTTTGGAAACACACAGATGTGAATGGAGCCTTATTGTTCTTGTGTAAACAAACTAATCTCATTTTCAGGCCCCATTCACACTGAGAGTAGTAGGAGCCATTGTTTTTTGGTTAGTTTTTCCAGTGATATGCATAGGGCAGCCTGTTGATTTTCAATGGAAAGCACTACACGTGGCAAGTAGCTCATGGGACATTTTGGCGTGGTGCGAGTTGCACGTTTTGCTGCTCATTTGTCACCTGTTTTTCATGTGACATAATGTGCATTTGCTTCTGTGTTTGGTGTGCGGTTAACAATTAATGACACTGAAAGTGCAAGTAGGTCATTTTATGTATATAAAATGTGGCCATACACTATGCAATCTGATTGTACAATCTCTGTATGATCACCTTTAGATTTACCAAGACTATATCAGAGGAGGACACACCATCTATCTTATCACTCTGTATCCAATCAAGCAGGCCCTTGCGCTACACCAGGTGTCCCGTGGGCTGAATGCATATAATAAACAAAGGAAAAGACAAAGGGGGTTGGGTTTTCTAGACACCAATCAACAACACAGTTAAAGTAAAAAAAAATTATATTTTTATTTAGCAAAATTAAAATAGGATATATAACACACATATGGACCAATCTACATTTTTTTCTCCTCATTTTTTGACTGGATTGATTGACTCTCATCTGGTGAAATATCTTCAGATGAGGATTTGAAATCTTGAGACCTCAACGTGTTTCAGCTCTTATAATGCCTTCATCAGGAGGAAAATATATGGTCTGAAACATATGTGCATATGGATAAATAGCACATATACATACATATGAGCATGTTGCCATGGTATGATCATGACATGAAAAAGACAGAAGACCTCACAGGAAAAAATAATGAGCACTTAAGCCCCAATAGTAGACTATGGATTCTAGGATTAAATAAAACTATATATACAGTAATTGTATTAATTACCTGCCAAGATTAAGGCATCAAAATGTAGGACTTTATGGATTGCCCAGGTGATCCCAACAGATCGATGGCAATGACAGTACTACACGCACCAAAGGCAAACCACTTAGCAAGGTCCCAAGGAGTACACAAAAGAAAAACCCATTGTCATGGACAGGGGCGGACTGACAACTCATAGGGCCCCCAGGCAATAGGGGATCATGGGGCCCCTGTGTCCTTGCCCAAACTCAAAACAGCCTATGAAAAAGGTACCAGGGGCATCTCATGGGGCCCCCTACTGACCCCGGGCCCTCGGGCAGTACCCGAGTTTCCAAATGGTCAGTCCGCCCCTGGTCATGGAAAACACAAGCACCTAATGATTAATTATAACATTATCATAAACCCTTCTCATTGAACATAGGATAATAACTAAGTGCGGCACAGAGAAAGAAACCATATGAAATTCTATTTACTACTGCCAGAGTTAAAAAATCAAGCTGTGGACCTTCCCAGACCACCTTGATGGTCCCAAGCAGATCCATGGTAAGGACAGCATTGATTACACCAAAAACTGACTCTTTAATAAGGCCCTGACAAAGTGGTCAGATGCTTCAAATCAGCCAATTACCATCATCCAGTAACTCACTTATTAAGGCCATATGGGTAACCAGAAAGGAAGGTCTTCTACAGGGGGAACCACCCCTTGTGTCCTCCTCGCTTGCCCAATCGAACATGGGGCGCTATGTGTGCTGCCTAAGCATCTGGCAGCTTCCATCACCATGAGTGGTGAACAGAGGGTAACAGCGTCACTTCTGGTGCACTGGACATCATATCCAATGCACAGCCTCAAAGATAGATGCATGTGGCCATGTTGGATCAGGGCATGGCAGCAGCACACCAACAAGCCTCTATGTAATAACCTCCAGGTAGGTAAATCCCCACCAAGCAGCATTTGGAAAGCAGCCCCAGGGAGTTTAGCATGCAGCCTGAGCACATCTATAGAGATGTTGGGGTATCCAGGAAAATGCACATGTGGAGAGATCCCAGGGATGCTCTGAAAAAATAGTTGATGGGTGAAGGGTCCTTATTAGATCAGCTGGTAATCTGCTTCCTGGTCATACTGGCTCCTCCGTCCTATCTCTACGTACCAAGAAGTGAAAAAACAAAGAAATATTGCTAGGGCTAAGGTAAAGCCTTGTTTTGCAAAGCAAAGATAACTTGTATTTTTTTGCAACTGAGGTACATTAATGGTGTATTGGTGTATAGCCCCCCTCCTACTTACCTGAGCCCTATCTCAGTCTAGCACTGTGCAACAGAACCGTGGCTCTCTCCATTTTCTCTCTCTTTGCTGGACATGGAGGTAGCAGAGGAAGCCATTGGCTCCTGCTGCTGTGAGTCAAAACCTGATAGGAGAGAACGGGTCAGGCCTGAGCTGCCCAGCTTGGGATCGAGCCTGCATAAGTGCCCCTATAGTAAATTGCTTGGTTTGAGGGCCATTGGAAGGAGGGAGGATCCAAGTTTGCCACTGGGGGACCCCAGAATAGGAGGATTGGGCTGCTCTGTTCAAAACCATTGCACAGAGCAGGTAAGTGTGCAAGGTTTATTATTAACCACTTTTGCTATTAACCTCCATTTTTCTATAGGCTGGGCAGGAGCACTGTTATTCTGGGTGGAGTTCATGTAACATCCTTCCAGGACTGGGTTTTCCTGTAGCACGATCTTTCACCCACTGTTTCCACCGGACACAGTACATGGCAGATCAGTGTACCAGGCTGCTGTCAGTACCATGTGATTGCTGGGACCAATCAATGCAGATCACATGACAATTGTACACAATGGATGGCTTCTAGTCATGCCATTCATTGTGTACTATTGTGATGATCTCTGTGATTGATCACAGTGTTCACATGGTACAGACAGGGCCAATCACAGCTAATTACAATACTACACACTGAGTGAATGGATTTCATTCAGAAAAAAATGGTTGCTTAAAACATTAATATTCACTGATATAAACGATCATAGCGTGTAAAAAAAAAAAATCTTGATCACCCCCCAAGAGTAGTACAGTGTTACTATGATAACACTGTATTGTTCTGGTCACAGTATGTTACAAAAAAAATTGAAAAAAAAGAAAAAAATGGAACACTATACATTGATACTGTGAATGCAGATTTGTATTTATCTACAAGATGACAGTGTTCAACACTTTTTTTGCCATAGACTAAATACAGGTGCACAGGGACTTCTGGGAATTGTATGCTGAAAGTAGAACTCTCCATACAGCTAAGATAAGATTGAACTACAACATCCATGAGCAATCTCCAAGGGGCAAAAGTATATAAAAGAAAAAGCCAGAGAACAGCCAGGGAGTGAGACTGTATAAGAGGAAAGTGGCCCAGAGAGTTTGTGTTGAGCAGTGCTGTTCCAAACCAGATCAGATTGGGCTGGGGTTTGCAGAGAAACTGGAAAGACATAAGGGACCAATATCAAGCCGAATATTGAGTGAAAGAGGCTGCCTGGAGGAGACCTGACAGCTGCTGGAACACAAGGGTTGCTGCTGTTACAGCCACATCTCCAGTTAGAAGGGACCCCACTGCAAGAGGCTCATTATTTTGATGGTTGCCACCTAGGATTGGGTGAGAAGGTCACTGACCCACACATCATCAGACTTAGTTACATTTCAGACTGTGTTCATTCAGGTTCCCCCAATTCTTAAGGATATTCTTCTGTTCGGACCCTTTTTGTGTGAATGGATTTCATTCAGAAAACATGGTTGCTTAAAATAGTGATATTCACTGATATAAGTGATCATAGCATATAAAAAAAAATCCTGATCACCTGCCCAGAGTAGCACAGTGTTACTATGGTAACACTGTATTGTTCTGGTCACAGTATGTTACAAAAAAAAAATTGTAAAAAAAGAAAAAAATGTAACACTGTACATTGCTACTGTGAATGCAGATTTGTATTTATCCACATGATGACAGTGTTCAACACTTTTTGCCATTTATTGATATAGGCTGCCATCACTTACCTGCCATTAAGATCCCTGCCAGCAGGTTGTGGAACTAAGTTAGGTGATTGCAGTTACTAAAACCCAAGAGAGTCCTTTGCTACTGAGACTGAGCTTGCCTCATAAAGCATATCCAGCTCCCAAATCCACTCTTTTAAAGTTACTTTGCCCACAGCTTCACACCTAAAGCATTCTGGCATACAATTTTTTATCCTAAAGTGACTTTAGTCAATAACTTTGTGTCTTAGAGTGACCTCTGCCCACAATTCTCTTTGTTTTCATCACTTAAAGTGAACTGTGCTCACAACCTCATCTCTTAACGTGCACTGCACCTACAGTCCTGACTTTAGGAAGAGAACTATCCTATTCATTCTACCTCTTACAGTGACCGCACCTTATATTGTACACCATCAAAAAGGGCCCCAACTAAGCTGACAGAATAATGCATTTCTCAGACTGTGTTATACCCAGAGTTGCCCTATTAGAAATACTGGTTTGCAGGAGGTCTAACAGATTCCTAGAGATAAACATAGAGTCTCCTGACTGAGCCCACAAGTGAGGTAGCCAGTTGATTCTTGTCCTTCCTTACATTTCTCACTTGGGAAATCTCCCAGTCTGAGGGCAATTGTTTATGCTCATGGTTCTATAAAGGGCATCTTTTGGTATTATGTTGTAACTGTGTTCATTCACTGTATTTACAACCTGATCCTTGAATTGTTATTTTGATTTGATATTTTCCGGAATTCCAAAATAATCAGTTCAATATTTTCTCTGTTTAAAATGAAGATCAGATGTCATGCAACCTTCAATTTCTTCCTGTTACTTCACTTATTATCTCAACTGTGGACTCTCGTTCTTTACAGAAATTTCAAAAAAGAAATGTGATATAGTGTAGTATGCTCAACCCACCATATTCTATGCACTCACTTTATCAATAAAAATCAGTGCCAGCATATACTGTAACCAGGGGCGGACTGACAACTCATGGGGATCCCGGGCAATAGGGGATCATGGGGCCCCTGTGTCCTTGCTCAAACTAAAAAAAAGCCTATGAAAAAGGTACCAGGGACATCTCATGGGGCCACCTACTGACCCTGGGCCCTTGGGCAGTGCCCGAGTTTTCAAATGGTCAGTCCGCCCCTAACTGTAACCATGTATACTTTCGTCTGTTATCCTTCTTTATGTACCCTTACCCTCCAACTTCTTTGGTAAGTATCCAATCAATTGCTGTCAAAGTATCCTCAGTTCTGCACTTCTTGTTGTGTGTGACACTCCAAATACAGTTTACCAGGAAACAGACTTCCAAAAATCTGTGCTTTAATGACAATTTCTTTAAAAATGCCTCCTTTTATTCCTCTCCAGCATGGCTTGTGCAAGTGGTCCCCAGAAAGACAAGAGACTAAAATAGTGTAATATTGTTTATACACAAAGCTTCATAGATAAACATCAACCCACTCACATTTCTATACCACCAAAACAGTGCATGTCCCTTAAACAAATTCAGTTCCACTGCATGCAGGTATTCAGTGGTGTCACTCCATGCACCTTACCAGATTAATGCCTTTTAAATCGCTTATATTAAAACCATCCACTAAACACAATCCCTTTTATTCACTCCAATGCTCATCCAGGGTTCCCATGCAAACGATATAATACAGAGGCCATAGTGTAGTAAATCCCTATAAAAATGTATTTATTAAAATCCTATGCACATACAAACATTCACAGGTAAAAAAACTCCTTTTAACCAATGGCTGCTGCGGCACTTCCGGTATTCATAACTACGTCACTTTCGGCGTCTGACATAACATCTGACACTCAGAGCCATCTTTAATATTGATTGGACCCTGGGCAAACATTTTTTTTTGGCCCCCCTAGCCACCAGTCCCCCACTCTGAGACATACAATAAATAGCAGCTAGACTCAAAATCAGTTTACTGCAGCAGATAAGGCAGTGATTGGTTGCCAGAAGTTACAGCATATCATTACTGCTCACTGGCTGGTTCCTAGAGGTTACAGCAAGCATTTCAGCTCACAGATCAGTTGCTAGAGCTTACAACACATTACATTATTTCTATTTGCTGATTGGTTGTTAACGGTTACTGCACACCATTACTGCTCACTGATTATTTGCTAGAGGGTACTGCACATCATTACCACTCACTGATTGGTTGCTAGAGGTTACTGCACATCATTACTGTGAACTGTTTCTTTGCTAGAGGTTACTGCACATTATTCAGGTAGTAACAGAGCCCAATGTGAGCAGCATCTCTGAGGATCACACACACACAGACAGACAGACACACACACACACAAAACACAGACACACAACACACACACACACAAACAGTATACACACACAAAACAGACACGCACACAAACAAAAAACAAAAACAGAACATATCACAACAACACAAACACAATATACACACACAAAAACAAAAAATCACACAACACACACACATGCATACACACACACAGACACACACACACACACAATACACAGACACACACACATGCATACACAGACACATACACAGACAAACACAAAAACATATACACACACAAACACAGACACGCACACACATGCATAAAAAAACACACAGACACACAAACACACAGACACACGCACAATATATACACACACAGACACACACACAATACACACACAGACACACAAAACAAACATCACACAGACAGAGCAGAGAGGGTTCTGAGCAGCCTCTAGGAGAGGAACAGTGCCTCTATATTGACAAGTGACAGAAGTGAGCAGTGCCAGAGGCTGAAGAAAAAACCCTGGGGGCAGCGCGGGCTCAGGAGGCAGCTGCTTTGAGCCCCACAACAATGACTGGGCCCTGGGCAGCTGCCTCTATTGCCCCGTGTTAAATACGGCCCTGCTGCCGGTTTTCGTCATAAAGACTTCTTCTTCCATAGAAAGTCGATTTGGTTCACGTCATGCAAATCCGGTTTTGGCTCAAAACGCATCCAATTTGCACATGTGTGAATCAGGTCTGAAGCTGCTTTCACACTGCTGACTATCACTGTTACGAGTCATTCATTAGAGGCTCACATCACAGTTTTACCGAATTATAGAATGACCTCTATGCTTAATGTTGATTTATGCTAAAATGCTGTCAAATCGATTTCTCCTGCTGCTTCCCTATCTTGTATCGCTTTGTCCCGTGCAAGTGGACTCAGGCAAAAGAAGTGCAAGACAACACGACTAAGGCTCCTAAGTTGCATAATTGGTTGTCGTCACATAACAAACAGGGGTTTTTCCTCTCTTAGATGCAGAAAATTAATTTGACAGAGTGGTTTGGGTCTATATCATGGGGGTACTACAAATGGTGGGCATTCATTTCTGCATGCGCAATTATATCTACCTATAGGCACTTTATTCTACTTTTTCGTTGGCTGGATGAATAGATTCTAACGCATCCTCTTATAGGGTTTACCCTCCAAAGTTTCCATACAGTTTCCGTTAGAATAAATAGCCACCTGTTGAATGCCTTTCAAATAACCAAGGGTACATGTCAGGGGTGTCCCTTCTGTCCTCTCATCTTTGTGTTATTGCTGGAACTATTGGTGAAAAGATGACGCCATCACTCACTTGGGGATACAGAACCCAGTCCGCTTCTCTGAGCTTTACTCTAGGAATTTCCGTACGGTGCTAGAAGCAATCTAGAAGGATTTAAAGGCATAGGTCTCTCTCAACGTCTCCTGGTTTGGTTGCACTGCTCTTGTAAAAATGAATGCATTTCTGTGCCTGTTTATATCTATTGCAGACCATCCCGATTCACCTTCCCACCATCCTTCTTTGCAAACATAGCTGTTCGTCCTTTATCTGGAGCAATTTATACCCACACAGTAAATACTTACACCTCATGTTGTCTAAAAGAGCTGGTGGGATTGGTTTTCCTGACCTCTAGAAATATTATCTAGCATGTCAGTTAACAAGGATCATTGACTGGAATACTCATGCCAGGTTAAAAGCTTTGGTTTTCTTAGAACACTCTCTTTCCACCTTACCGATGGCAGCGCTACCCTGGCTACCTGTTCGCCTGCTCGATTAATCCATTCTAGCGCATCCTCTTATAGGATTTACCCTCTCTTTCCTCATCACTGGGCCCTTTGACTTCTATCAGGTTAAACCCGGACTTTACTTCAGGAATGTCAAGCTCATTTTTAGCTGCCATATGGCCTCATACAGAGGTGTGCGCATCTCAGTTTTTCTCTAAAGGCAAATTTTTAGGTCTTGATGCTTTAGATGCCCTTTCAACATTTGGTTTCTTCCCCATGTGGACGTACCTTCAACTCAAATTTCTTTTTTCGTCCCTGCGAAAAGTACATGGACAAGACTCCTCGCACTTTCAAGTCTTTATGCAGGAAAATGAAATGGTTTCCACTATCGATTCTTTTTTGCTTCCTGACACCCAATCCACCCCAGTTTAATTATGACCTGGGAAAGAGAGCTTCTGGTATATTTGTCTGACAGTGATTGGGACAACATTAATGAGTATGTCCATAAGGGCTTGCTAAATGTGGCGATCCAAGAAAATATTTATATGTGTTCTGATATGCCTCATGGCTCTTTCTCCTGCAGAAGAAATGTATTGATTAGGCTTCTTCCCTTTCTATGCATTTTGTAGGGGGACTGGAGTTTGGCCTTACCCTTCCCTCTCTACTTGATATTTTTGTGCTTCTCCCGTTGGGTTTTTTTTTCTTTTTTTTTTCTCTTTTCTTTTTCTTTCTTCCTTCCCTTTTCACTTCAATGCTTGCTACCCTCTAGTTCCCCCATAGTTCCTGCTTCTTGTTACATTGTTGTATTTTACGCAACCTCCAACCTCCATTCAGTCCTAATTTGGTCGCTATATTATCTGGATCGGTCACCTCAGGGCTGATAGCATGCTGAGAGTGGTTTGCGCTTCCAGATATTGAAACAGCAAAGGGGCCTTGGAAGATCTTATTGTGTTTTCTTGTACAAGTTTTCTACATGTTCTGTATGTAACCCTCATTATATTGAGTTAGACACTTTATTATACTCTATATAGTACTGTATTTTTCTTGCTGTGACCTCAATAAATGGATTTATGGAAATATATTTAAAATGAATGAAATTTACAATAACATGTTAAAGCCTATATACGATTTTAGTGATTGGGCATACATATACTTTAAATAAATTAAACTACAGCTAAAATATTGTCACATAAAATGTAAACACTCGTTTGTAACCCTAGAATAACATTTTAGCAGTTGTCTAACAATTTCAAATGTAGCAAAGCCATTCATTTTCACGCAATGACAACTACAGAATTACAAGACAAAAGTTCATCAACTAATTGCTGGATAATGTTGACATGTTTGCCACATTGGTTACTCTTATAGGGACATTCAAAGTAAGTATGATTCTCTGCCAAGGTCATGCTGTGTAAAATGGGCTCTCTGCCAGAAGATAGTACATGCATAGGGTACTCCAGCATAAAAGCAGAAGCAGTGTTGATTTAATTAAGCATGCCTATATTGTGATCAGGGATGTCTTCTGTGTTATGACAGATAATGGTTGATTTACTAAAGGCAAATAGGTTGTTCTGTTTGCCATGGAATTTTCACTTGGTAAAACTTAATTTAGTGAAACTCTGCTGACTTCCATTATCCAATCATGTGCAAGGAAAAATGTTTTTCTTCCTTGCATGTGATTGAGTATTCTTTGCAAAGTGTACTTTCATCACATTCATTAAGTCAAGGTATACTTATTATGCAAAATGAAACTTCCCCTTGTGTTTAGGTAAAATACAGAGTTTGGTGAATTTTTGAATGTCAAACGGTTATACTTGTGCTGGGGTGGTAAATGTTTAATCAAAAACAATGGACAGTCAGAATGAATATTGTTTGAATTTCACATGTTCATTATGACTGTCATTGCAGAATATGATATTTAATTATGTTAAATGTTTCTAAGGTAACCCTCTATTTTAGCAGTTCATGAGCAATCAACACATGTTTAAATCTGTTTTGTTCTGTGTTGTTTCTGTGACACAGTAAACTTCTTTTGTGACTAATGAAAATCTTGCAAGGATGTTCTCTTTGTCTATGATTAATAAGAAAATGGTAGCTTTCATTAGCATACACTCTGTTATAACCCCAGGTGGGCATTACATAATAAGTCAAATTTGAAATATGGATGGAAAAAGTAATGTGTGTGCAGAATTTTCACATTAAACAAGTAATAAATTTATTATACCTGAACGCAATAGAACTATGCAAGATCTTTAGCCCTCCTGTCCTTGACCAATTTCTGTGCATATGCACTTCATAAAAATTTCATGATTCATT